TAGACTGTTGATATAGTATATCACTTGGCTTTGTGGCTTGTATCTTTTCTCAATTTTGGATGTACTTGTAGCAGTTTTAGCCTCCATAATAGAAGGAGAAAAGAAACTAATCAGCTTCAAAGGTGCTGTTCATGTAACTTTGCATTGAATTTTTGCAGGTATGCCCAGAGAATTGGTTCTGATGAGTTGTAATGGGAAATACTCTGATCTGTCTGTGAAGGTTTGTCAGAGAGATTCTAGTAAAATTGATGAGTCTAAGCTAGACTGTCTCAAGGAATTGGTTCTCAAAGCAAACTTGAATGAAAGTCCTCTACTGAGCAGTGAAAGCTGCTGTCCTAAGCTGTTGTTTAGTCCAAGCATCTTGAGTAGGTGGTCTTCTGAATAATCCTTTGCCATTGATGATCCTCCGACATTTACTAGTAATGAGTTCTGGTTTCTCACATCAGTTGAACTGATCGCTTGTGAAGGCAGCATTGAATGAACTTGAAAAGAAAGTGGCAATAGTATTGCAGGTGTTACCAGTAGATTTGTGTATGTGTCATTATATATGTATGCCCATATGTTTATGCACATCAGTGAAACAAAAAGAACAGTGGTTTGAAACACTAACTTTTCAGTGTAAGAGACAAAATTTGCAATAGCATTCTGCTAGAAGACCTAGATTAAAGCTGTTAAAGATCTGAATCAGCTTTATTTACATATTGTCTGTGAATATACCTACACAAATTTACATGTCATCTTGAAAATTTAATGAAGAAAGTATATGACATAAGAGTGGGACGTGACTTTTTTCAGCTCTGAAAATGTTTCACAGCAAGTTAAATCTTTACTACAGGAAAGACTAGTCAAAATATTCTTTGATGCTTGAAAATTTATGTTTAATAGAAGGGTTTATTAATAGCATATGGTAAGTTATATAGAGAAAATGAACATGCTTTATGAATAACAGATACTCATTCTGGGTTTCAGAGGCCCAGAAAAGTATGAGATGAAAAAATTAAAAAAATCTTCCCAAAAGTGTCTGAAAAGCAGGTGACAGGATTTGCTTTTCTGAAATTGCAAATATTTACGCATCAGAGATGCATCCAATTTAGGATTAAGAGCTCAAATCTGCACCTGTTTCTCATTTTTTGAGGGGCTGAGAGCAGTTTACTCCTGCTCCCAGTGCACAGTTGGAATACGTGGTCTCATGTAAGTAAATCTGCCGTGGTTTTATCTGTAGAAAGTTATATGATTTCCTTTTGTTTCAATACATTTTATATAAGATGGTTTCAGAATTCTTTGATTTTTTGAATAAATGAAAGAAATTATGGCTTAGACACAACCATAGTGGTCTTTGTAAAGGGAGATATTCAGGATAAAATTTTTCATCTTAATTTTACCAGCAGGCGTTAAAACCCCTTCCCCTTTATTTGGACAAAAGATACGAGCTTTTGTAGTTTTCTTGGAGCTGTTGACAAAGACCAGTGATCTGAATAATGAAAGGAAAATAATTGCTTGCTGCTTCTGAAAGACAGTAATATTCATGTTTTTGCCTTGAAATCTGGAACATAAAACCTTTAAATATTGTCAAGTTGCTTCCCTGTGTAAACACAGTACATTAAGCACTTGTACTCTACATTCGTGGATGGCATTCTTTGTAATGATGCAGCTCAAGTGAAGTGTAACTGTTTTGTTTCATATAGAATTTAAAATAGTTATAGTGGAATGTTATTTAAGGGTGGGAGTTGAATGTTACTTCAGAGGTAATGTGATTTAATTATATTAGTCAGTGCTTCTATATATGCACAAGAATTATATCTTACCGAGTAGAAATACTTCAGTTCTGCTGAAATAGAATTTGAAAACGAGATACTAGCATCTAAGCAAAACTCCTGCATTTTAGCTGCTGAAAATCTGCCCTGTCATTACTAGCTTTATCTGACTGCCTTGTTACTCTATATACACATAATGCACTTATAATACATTGATTCAAGAAAGTATAAAATACATACCTTGGTACAAGAGCTTTGTTTTATCTGAACGTGAAAAAAAAATAGTCTGGTGAAATATTAATGATAATATGGCAGTTCCTAAGGTTGTTCATCATGGTTAAATTTGTCGTGTGACTAATTAAAGTTGTGAAACATATTTATATGGATGGGAAGGTGAACAAAGTTTCTGGAAATATTTTTACATTAATATGTTCTTTGTTTGGCAGATAATTTCAATTTAATGAGGATGTATGGCATTACTAGTAATGAATTGTATGCATAAGCAGCATTTTACATGGAGGCATAAGAATTGAGACATTCCACTATGTAGAAAGAATAAATAAAAGGGTTTTTTTTTAAGGTTCTGTTGATGGATGAGACTGGCGATTTATTCTGAGCTTTGGATCATCTCTTAGATCTATATTATTTTTGACACAGTTCTTACACTCTTCTTTCACAGTGTATGAGGAGTTCTTAAAAAATATTTAAGTACTTTTTCTTTGTCCTACTTTTTAAGGGCTCTAGACTGAGAGCAGTGTTAGCTTAGTTTGCTTTTGATTCAACAGCTGTTTTTAAAAAACTATGTTAACATTTAAATTAAAATCTTAACAAAAAAAAGACAACTTCAGTTAAGCAAAAGTGTAAAATGATCTCGGAAAGACTAGAGGAGTCTCTCACAAAGTCTTGCACAAGTTCCTAAAGATTCCAAAAGCTGACCAAGAATACAGTTAAGTATTGTGTTTTCTAGTAATCTAGGAGTCTTCAATATAAAATAGGGCAAAAAAAGAGGTTCCCAAAGCGCTTTTGATTGTGCTAGAAGGCAACTAACCATAGTTAGATGCACAAATGTGCAAGGAAAATAGTTGTTATGCACAGAAGTCGTGATTTAACAATAGTTCAACATAGGAATCTTCATCTAAGAAGTTAAAAGGAAAATAATTTTATGGGAAGCTCATTCAATGTATGGCAGGTAATCCACAGGTTGTTGGTAGAAAGAGCTAATAGAGCCTCTGGTTTATTCAACTAATGGGAAGTTGGAGTTGACACTTCCTACTGAGTGTGAGGTAATAGGGAAGTAGTGAAGGGCTATGAAATTGAACAACTTAAGTTTGATGCAGAAAAAAAGAGGGAGCCAATGAAAAGATAAGGGGAAAGTGGTAGCCTGGTAAATGTTCATAAGGATTCCATGATCTGTACAGCAAAACTGCATTTGTTAAAATGTGAGTAGTGTTGCAAAAAGCTCAAAAGGCGGGACATAAAGAGAGTAGGTGAGATTTTTCAGCAATATGGAGTGTGAAGAATTTTCCTTGTGTGTTTGTATTGCATTCATAGTTTAGTGGTGGATGAACTCAGTCTCTCTCACTTTACACCCAAATTATGTAGAGTCCTCTCTCTCAGAATAAGGAGTTAAATTTGTACTTCCTTATTAACTCTAAGCAGTTTGCTGCCTTTCCGCCCTGAAATTTTGCTTTTTCACTATCTCCAAAATTTCTCAGCAGTTTTGTCCACTGCCTGCCAGAATTTATGGTGCCAGGGGAGACCTCACTCTCCTCTGGCATGTGTGTAGAGGAGGGCTACCCTCAGTCTGTTTAGAGCTGATTTTGGAAAAGAGATTCAAGGGTTTAACTGTGTAACTTGTTAGCAGGACCTTAGTTGTGCTGTAGTGCTAGGCTAGCGAATAATGGAGCACAGAGCATTTAAATATATGGGTAAAGAACCTAGAAGACTTACAGTCAGAATGTGAGATTATGGAAAGAGGTTCAAACTACAGGTGATGTTTAATTAACTGGAGTCACAGAATGAGATTTCTAGTTTGGTGGAAGGAGACAATTCTAGATGAAGCATTTTGACCTGTGAAGGTTGTAATTGAATTTGAAGTTTAAGATGTGAAAGGAAAAGAAAGAAAATCATTGACAAAACCCTGAGGAATCTGCATAGAAAATGGAGCAGAGAATGAGGAGACAGAAGAAATGCTGGAGTGATTTGATAAGTAAGAAGTGGATATCATGGAAACTGATGGAAGATGAGATTTCATGAAGAAGTAAACTGTGTTTTACAGCAGGAAGGATCAAGGAGGTAGAAGATAGAATATTGTTTCTGCTGTGTATCTAAGAAGTTATTAGAAATTTGGCAAGAACATTTTTCATTGTTAAATACCATTTTTTTTAAAGGGTAAAATGAATGGAGGAAAACTTCAGGCAACAGTTGTAAATAGTGCATTCTTTGAGCTTGGCAATGAAAAGGCAAGAAGTACAATGGTAGATGCATGACCACAAATATTCTAGTATTGTTTTGTATTTCTATAACTTACAATATGCCAATCTGTAATAAAAAGAAGTATATAGGCTAATAAAGTTGCTCTGTTCAGTTTCAGGGATCATTCTTTTGATTAGTAACATAATCAATGTTCAAGTGGAAGAACAAGCATATTATTACATAAAAATTAGTTATTACATATGTACCTAATAAAAAGATCTCAATGTATATGCGGACAGTTGCCATAGGGAATTCTAGTAAATTATAATTTAAATAATTTTCAACTTTCCCTCATAGCAGAGAGAAACTAGTTGCTTTAAGGGCTATATATCAGATATATATATACACAGCATGCTTTTTTTCATTACTTCATTGTTTCTAAATTATGTTAAAGGGAAAGCAACTGTCAATAACAATTTAATAGTTCAGCCTGAAAAATACATTTAAAGTGCCCTGAAATATCTCAATTCTGCTTGCAACTGTTAATAGCAATTCTTTAGTAGTTAAGTTAGGAAACTGATGTATTCTTATTGTAAGGTGTTTTCAAAGTTCCTTGGAAAAATAATATCATTAAGAAAAGAAGTTCTGCCAAGAGTTGATGTTTAATATCCATTGTTTACTGGTTATGTTTTGCATATTTATTTGTTGTGGTATGTACCTGTTGTTCTGACATTGTTTTAATGCTCTGTGTAGAATTTATGTGCAATAATATTAAATCTCAAGGAAGAAGCTTATTTGTCAAGAGGTAATTTGGCAAATATGTTTTTGCAGGTACCTTTTAATATATAATCCTGTGGAACAAGAGCGATTTTCAGTGGTTTCAGTCAATGTGAATTCACCCAGAGTTAAATTATTATCTCCTTTGGGAAAACCTGTTACTGTCCAGATTAGTGCTGTTTGGGATGGAGCAACTACAGTATCACATGAAGCGTATCAGGTATGCTACTTTAAAAGCATTAAAGTATTTTTTTGACAGATGTTCTAGCTTCACAGTTGAAGAAAATGGAAAGCATAATTCAAATATTGGCAATTTTGTCTTCTGCAGATAATGCCATTAATTCAGTCATTTTAAAGAAAAAAAAGAAACATATATATTTAGCACTAATGTTTCTTAAACTGATAAATTTTTAAACTTTTGTGATACGGTGTATTACATTTAAAGGGTCGGTTCCAGCTGCCTGAACAGAAAATACAGGATGTGTCTTTTCACCCAACTTTCTGAAGCTGCTTTTTCCTTCAACTGATAGTCCATACACACAGTCATACAGTTTGTATGTGCTTGAGCACTCCGTTTAGAAGGTTTTGTAAATGCAATGTCTTAAGCAGTTAGATTCTGATTTTTTTATCTTTTTTTTTTTCTTCCAGATGTAGAGGCTGGATAGTAATCTCCATTACTTGTGTACTCAAGCTAGACAGATGACTTTGAGTGCACCTCTTGGTTTTGGTTTTAAACAAAGTTTTTGAGAATTTTGAATCATTATAGAAGATTGTCCTCAATGATCGTGCATCAGAAACTGTATTTTATTAAATACTTAGTGATACAACAGTACTATATAAGCTCTATCCTTTTACCTTCAGGCTTACATTCTTAGTCTGATTCCTTTTGACTTGGGGAGTCAAGTTGAATTTGTTTCAGGATAACATTCCTGCAAACATAAATCAGTAAGTGTGTCTCAGTTGTCCTCTAAAGGGATAATTACTGGTAATTGTTCTGGGGTAACCTTGGCCAGCAGCTCAGCCCCACACAGCCGCTCACTCACTGCCCCCAGTGGGATGAAGGAGAGAATTGGAAGGGTAACACTGAGAAAACTCAAGGATTGGGATAAAGACAGTTTAATAGGTAAAGCAAAAGCTGTGCATGTGAGCAAAGCAAAATAAGGAATTTATTCATTCCTTCCCATCGTCACACAGGTGTTCAGCCATTTCCAGGAAAGCAGGGCCCCGTCACTCATAGAGGTTATTTAGGAAGACAAACAACGTAACTCCCAATGGCTCCCCTTCCTCCTTCTTCTCACAGGTTTTATTGCCGAGCATGATGCCATATGGTCTGGGGTATCCCTTTGGTCCGTTGGGGTGAGCTGTCCTGGCTGTTGCCTCCCAACATCTTGTGCACCCCCAGCCCTCTTGCTGGTAGGGCAGCATGAGAATCAGAAAAGGCTGTGATGCTGCATGAACAGTGCTCAGTGATAGCTAAATCATCCCTATGTTATCAATACTGTTGATATCAAACCATAGCACCATATGAGGTACTACGGAATAATTTAACTCTATCCCAGCCAAAACTAGTATGATACTTAACACTGTGTGGGAATGGCCTGAAGAAGATGAAGAAATAAAATTCTCTATCTGTACCTCAAATTCTAAGCAAACTGCTTTGGAGATCTTCCTTGTATATTACTCTTCAGTACAGATTACTTTATAGCTCCTAAATAACCAACGACTAAAAATGACACCATTGCCTTATATTTTCCTATTTAAATTTCCGGATTTTTAAATGCAACTTAAGTGGTAAGTAGGGTCTGTGTGCACTTGATACACATACATCTTTAATGCACAGCAGATACGCTCAGAACTGCCTATCAATGCTAACATACTGTTTTAATAAGATTAAAAAAAATCATCATTTCATTAATGTAACAGTGATCTTGATGCAAAGCAAATTAGCGATACAGCCATTTTTGTTTTCTATTTCCTCTTAACATGCTTCAGCTATTAATTTTGGAATGTCATTTGTAATGTCATACTCATTTATGGAATATGGGAAAAGTTTAGCTATCCTAAAATCATTGAAGCAAAAGGAATTACTCTGATTATAAATGTAGTATAAAAAGTTGATACTTCGATGTTTTCAATAATGACTGCTTATTTGCTACCAACAGATGTCTTTTGTGGCACACCTACCACCCCTAGGGCTTGGAGTTTACCAGCTTTTGGAGGTTCAGAGTTCAGAAGCAGTTTTAGCAGACTATAACATATACATGAGGAACAGCAGGCATGAGAAGCCAGACAGACTTTTCAAGATAAAAGAGATGCAGAATTCTGTGGATAATATAATCTTGGAAAACTCTTACATGAAACTGTGGTTTTCTGGAATGTCTGGATTACTGGAGGTATCTTGCATTGTATTTTTAAACACTATGTTTTACTTTTTTAAGAACTTCTGTTCCTATTCACATAAACCTAAATGTGTCAACTATTTCCAACATGATTTTGTCCTTAGAAAATAAATACCAAAGAAGATGGTAAAAATCATCCAATGAAGGTGGAGTTTGCTTGGTATGGAACTACAAGTAACCGGGATAAAAGTGGAGCTTATCTCTTCTTACCAGATGGAGATGCCAAGGTAAATCTTCTGTTTGCAGAGATTTTAATCTTGAAGTAACTTGAAGCATTCTGCAAATACAAATCGGAATAGCTAGCTTTCCTCAACACTGAAATACAGCTGTGTGGCTAGAAATAATTACATCCATTATTGAAATGATTGGCAGAACTTCATAACCCTGGATTTGTGTACTGACACAGAATTAACTTGAAAGAGTAAAAATGTGCAGAATATTTATGATTTACCAAAACACTTAAATAAGATGGTACCCTTACAAGAAATACAGTGAGATGTGACTATTCACTATCAATAAAATAAGTTTACTTTCACTTCCTGTGGTGAAAATGTATAGGACATACTGATTGATTTCCTTGTTTATTCATTCTTCCGATTCTCAAATTTCTTTACTGTGAATGAGGAGCATCCAGTTCAGAGTGTAGTACTTTTCTAGCTGATGTTAGCATATGTAGTTTAATAGAATAATTGAGATACTGAGTCCCAACTGATGAATGTAAAGATGGAGAAGCAATCAACTGTGCTGATTTAGTTGTCTAGGGTTGTCAGTATTTTTAGCTGCGTAATTATTAGAGGACAACAGCATACTGCTATTAGTTTTCAAATTGGAAACTGTTCTTACACTGACTTAATTACCATATGGAATCTACTGTATGACTTTTGGAACTGGAAAGGTGATATTTCAGAAAGCAAATGGTGAAATTGAGAAAACTTAAGAAGCTAGCTGTTTTGGAGCATACTTCTTCTGCCCAGTTTCTCCTGGGGAAACTTAAGTTGCATGCATAAAGCAAACTGGGAATTCTATGTCTACCACTTCACAAATTAAGCAAGGGTAATCTTTTTTTGTGTTACATGTGTAAATCAGTCTGGAATCGGACAGAACAGTTTCCTTTCCTTTTAGTAGTCTCTCCTAGAAGTTTTGAGTTCTGTGAGTTGGCAGTTTTAAACCATGTACTATATTTAGTCCCATAATTGTTTGCATCAGTTATGGCCAACAGACTTTACTTATTCTTAATTTTTAAACGTCAGTGGTTTTGATTTGTGAAGATCTGAACGATATCACTTACGGTTTTTAATTTTTACCTTTCATCAGCTGCATGGTCACACTTTAATCTTATTTTAGATGCTACTTAGTTTCTTGCTTATAAAAACAATAATCACTAAATCTAACAGTTATATGATTTTTACTACTCTCTTGAATTATTTGTTTTATAAAAACAATCTGGACAAATGCTATGGTTTGAACAGAAAAAGTTTGTCACATGACTGCAAGCACAGTTAGAAACTAAGGTACTTATTGAACTTTTATGAAAAATTAAAGTACATTTTTAGTTAACATTTTAAAAGGGTAATATGTTCAGCTTTTGCAACTTTTTATAAAATAAACATGATATCATGATACTTCTAAAAATTCTGCTTCATTAACATACCATAAGGCTCATTTGGCTTGCATTTTAATAACATTAATTAGGTTGTCCCATTGGGAATAACAATGTAATTTTATAGTAGTTTCTAAACCAGTTTGAACTAATGATTTCTGTCTTAAAAGAAATGCCATCTGTTCAGGGTTCTCAGTTTGAGGTGGATTGACTGTCGTTTCTAAGTCCCTGTGTGGAGTAGTGATAGGATGGATTACAGGCAGTTTTCTTGAATTTTTTTTTTTTGGCTAGGTGTTTTTTTTTCCTATCCCATTCACCCTATGTATTACTGCAAGATTTGCAGACAGTAATTGTATTTGATGTTGTGTCATTTTCCTTTGGTATCAGTACAGTTATATGTTCTCTCTGCCTTTTTTAACTGATTGTTTTGTCACCTGGTAAGTCTTTTGATCCTTTCCTTATAGTTCTGCAGTACTGAAATTATTTTTCCTCATCTATATAATCGTCTCTCTTACTATAGTGCTTATATAGCCTTTTTGGTCTTGGGTTCTTCTGAGAGTTTAATTTTGGAAACTTGGTGCTGTAACGTGCAAGGTTTGCAGGCCATGACTTAAAGCCGTGTCAGTTTAGGACACTTGAGACATACAGTGCACCTCTGGTAAGCAGTAGGCTATTGTGAGTGGATATCGTGTTTTCTGCTGATGATGGTCTGTGTACTGGAATGTACACAGATCTGAATCTTTTGAGAGGTTCCTTGGATTAATCATCTTGACAGCAGACCTAAAACCAAAAAGAGCACATTATTGCTAAGACGCAGAAAGCCTCTAGTACAAGCACGAAGTTGGATATTGGCAGAGACATGGATTAATGACAGTGATTTACATGGTATGGAATAGGAGGTACACTGAACACCCATAACTCTTTGTCACTGCTCTGGAAAGAATAGCTGGACTTAAGGCTCTACAATGTTTGCCATGGTGCAGCTAGACAGCGCCCAGTAAGACCAGTCTCTGGGGTTGTTGCATAGGGTCTTGACAATGGATGATTCTGTCTCTGAAGCATGAAAGTGTTTCAATGGCAGCCTCAGGTCAGGCCACCAGTGCAAAGTCCAGGGCAAGGACCGAGGCTCCATGCTGCAGCTGTGGCGATATGGCAGTGCTCCTACCATGTCTTTGTATTTTCTGCAAAATAGAATAAAAGCAAGGTGCCAGGGAAAAAGACAAGCAGTATCTTAATTTTTTAAAACGCCAGTGCTTCTTAACTGATTAACAGTGTTATCAAGGTTTGGAAGGAAGGAACTTCCCTGGATCTCACAACAAATGCAAACAAAAGCATCCTGCCTATGAAGCGAGAACATGTTTTTATCGCTTGTGATTTTGTGAAGGATGGCCAACTCTGTAAAGCTGTTTAGATCTGGGGGAAAAAAAAAAGAGTAATCAAGAAACTCTGAAACAGTTAAATGTCTGTATTTTCTTCTATATATTCAAGACAATTCAGTGTATGATGACCTACTTTATAACCATGTTCAGTATCAATAGGGAATAGAACAAAGCAGTTTTTTCCGAAGAGTCAGATGCTTGTGGGATCAATGTGAGTGATTCATTTTCTTGTTCTACAAATCAATTTTTCAGTATCAAAGTGGACTTTTTTGATAGTCCCAGACTGGGAAATTGTGATTCTCCCTCAGGCAGCTGTGTACATGTATGTGCTAGTTGCTGTAGGTACTTATGTACTAACAGAATGTATAAGAAAAGAGATTTATTTTTTTTATCCTACAGGGTCTCTAGTACTAGAGCTTTTCTACCTTTTTTCCTCTTCAGATTTTTTCTCCATGGTTGCACTTCCTTTACTGACAATGATCTCTGGCTTGTATAGCTGCAGCTGCTGCTACTAGCTTTAAGAAACTTTTTTTGTGACAGGTCCTTTTTTAATATGTCAGGATTACCTGTTGCCTCTACTTCTCAGAGAGGAACACACATCTGAGTTAGGTGAATGCTTGGCCTTCAAATCTAAGGTATAGATAAGATAATGGTATCTTTCTGCATTTTTATAAATGAGATGGGGATGTTCCTACTGCTGAAAAGGAGAGAGACTATCCAGTTAGAGGATCCTTCTGTATCCATTTTCAGATCTTCCCTCTCAGAAAGGCACAGAATCCTCATTCAAGTGTAATATCCTTACCTTTAATGCTTCCCATGTTTCTGTATGCCTGATAACAGAAAGAGACAAGTATGCAGGCACGATTACTTGGAGGGTGCTCACAACCAGCTGCCTTTTGAAGTGTCTGTTCTTTCCTTGGTACTATGTATTTTCCTCAAGCATCATATCTATAATCTAAAAATCTCCCCTACATACTGGTGGGGTTGTTTTTGGAGACAAAAGTTTTAAAATGGCAACTGTTTCTCTTCTGACATGTAATTCTGAAAACACAAATTTCAAGATCTCATAGTATCTGATTTTATTATTTTTTTCCTCCCAAAGCCCAGTCAAAAAAACCCAACCTGCCAAATGAAGCATAGTCTGCTATTGAGAAACAACTTTTATTGAAGGCTTTGTCTTGACTATTCTAAAATCTCAGGCATATCAATTCAGTCTGTGTTAGAAAACTTTACTGTGGGCATAGTTCGTTTATCTTCCGCACCAACAGTATGCTGCACTGCCAGAAATTTCTAGGCCACACTACGATGGTTAGCAGTACTTCACTTGACTACAAGAGGAAAGGCTTACTGCCCATGCTTCATGACTTCAGGCTGCAATATGCCATGACAGCTTCTATGCAAGCCAGTAAACCTTTAAGTAAAGGCATCTCTCCAGTTGTCTCTGCCCCTTGGCACTTTGGCACCCAATTTGATGCCAAGTATTTTAAGATATCCTAAGGAGCTGTGGGATATTATTTTGCTCCAAGTATTCTTCCTTAAAATTTCTAGCTGTTTTTTTTTTACCTCCCACAGGAGGTTGTCACATTTCTTTTGAATACGAGTACTGAAAAATTATTTCTGGACCCTTTGACCCATAGTTCTGTTGTCCTGTTTCTGAAAATACTGCTTTCCAGGCTCAACAAAACCTTTCACAGCAGGCTGCTGAATCTTGTACAATGGAACTCATTCCACTGGAGCTGAGGGGAACAGATTTTACAGGGCCTTTTCATTTTAACTGTTTAGGAAGTGGAGACTACCACTGCATATGAAACTCAAATATTTTTATTCCTAATAAAAGGTCTGACTAATCATAAAATCTTTCATGCAGGAAGGTCATTTAGATGAAGCTCCCACTCAAAGCAGAGTAAATACTAAATTCAGACCAGGGTTTTGTCCAGTCAGTTTTGCAAATAGCTCTGTCATTGTTCCATCCACTCAGAAAAGAAAGTAGTTTCCGTCTGAGTAGTAAGAGGCTTGTTTCTGCATTTTAGTCACACTTTCACATCAAAACTATCTTTATACTTTTTCAGAGCCAGGACCAGGAACACTTCACAGGCTTCTGTGCATCTTACCAAGGAGCTTTACAATGATACTAGAACAGTTGCACTTTCAATGCATAAAGATGTTTTCCTGCTAAAAGCCTGATGCATTGGAATGTTTTTAGTGTGGCAAACCTGATCAATAATCTCTTTATAGGTTCTGAACTCCGTATGTCTCCAGATGACTATCAAGAAATCACTTTCTAGGATTAGTGCTTTTCTAGGCACTAAATATGAATTAGGAGGCTTCCCTGTTCTCTCAGTACCATATTTTTTCTTCACTTTTCCTGTTTTGCCCAACAATCAGGAAGCAACAGGCATCCTGAAGAACTCAAGTGTACATCGTAACTCCACTTTTTGTATCAGAAAGAACTTGTCTAACCCCCAAAACCACATGACAGCTTGTGTCTTTGTAACTCTCCTTCCTTATTTGTACCTTTTGCCCCTCACTGTGTCTGAATTAGAGTCTTACAAAATGGTTTTGGTACATTTCTCTCAATGCATGTGCTAGTGGAATCACAAATTATGATTTTAAGAAAAATCATTAGTTTCAGACAATACCTGCAAATTTACACTTAATTCCTTTTCTTTCCTATCACCTTATCTTTCTGTATAGTTCAGAATGGTAGGTATGGTTGCCTTTGTCTTCAGCAGGGGGTCTGATCTGGCTGCATGTGCAACTTGGATACTCTGCTGTGTGAACTTCGTGTTTGTGGCAGTATCCCAGAATCTGAGAGTTGTTAAATACATCATATGGGAACAACGTATTTTGGTAGTTTTGTCAATGTCACCATCGTCTTTTATGCTAGCAAGCTAGATGGAACAGAATTCCTCCAAGTACTTTTTTTTTTTTTACTTTTTGTTTAAAAAAATTAGTTCAGGTAATTTTTTTTTTCTTTTTTTAATAAATGCACAGCCTTTTGCATTCCTTTGTCAGTCATGCAGCATGTTTCCATTTTGCTGGTTTGGTCCTGGATACCTCCAGTGAGAGCCCTAGGGAGAAATGTTCTTACAAACAACAGAAATAAGCCCATAAGATAGGTGTTACTTTGCTAACAAAATGTATTTGGCAGGCTGCTGCTAGTTAAGTAGTACTTTCCTTGGTAATAACTGGCGAGTGTATTTGCTTGGCCTGAAAACTTCAGTTTCTCAGTTCATTTTCTGAGAGTTCCTTTAGCTGCTGTTTCATTCCTTCATTGCTAACCTGAGGCTCTTCATGTTGCCCTACCCTGCAGCTAGGATTTTGAAGGTTTTGTTAATTCCACCTTCCTGTCCATAATCCAGTTCCTTTGTGGGACGTAATCTAAACATATACTTCTAGCTGAATGTTGTCACAGGTTAAATGAGTTTGTCTTCTCTACCTATGTGTGATAGATAAGCAGATAGATAGCAATCTCTTCTGCCAGAAGAAAGGGGAAGATTGAGTCTACAGTTACTGATCTTGGCAGTTTTTCGTGGAAATAAGAGAAACCAAAACCCACTTCAAATTCTAACCTAAAATCTGATCTTCAAATTTCCTTTATCCCAGCATATTAATTCACCTAGCTTTCCTGTCCTCCTAATACCATACTCTTCCTGTATTTCGCAGCTAGCAAATGTGTTTTGCATAATACATAACACTTGTCTGTCTTACTGACAAGATGAGATCCCTTGGAAGTATGCCATCTTTTTTTCATGTCAACTGTTAAGAAGTACAGAAGTTTGTTTACTCATTTTGGTTTTTGTACTGATCAACTGGATAAAACATTGCTGTAAGATGATCAGCAGAAAAATCCCTTTCTCCCTAAAACAACCCATCCTACCAAAGTGTAAGCAACTATGATTCCTCTATCGAACTCCTGTACAAAGTATTCCTGTAGTTGATAGTTGCAGAGTTGCCTCCTGAAACTTGAGTTTTTATTAAACAGTGTTCTGTCTGAAGCCTTAAAAATAAGATCCCTTTCTGAGCCTTAAGAATAGAAAGGCAGGCTTTTAGTCTTTGAAAGTTTTTTTCAGTTTCTTCTTTTATACAAATACTTCTTGAAATGTTCTCTGTGAATATACATATAACTATATGCACAAACAAGAAGATAGGACTATACGTACCTCTACTTGCTGTTTTCTGACATGTTCTGTATGTGTGTAATCTTGATTTCCTCTCTTCCTCAAGACACATTTGATCTTTGATTTCCTTGCTTGAGAAGAAAGAGCTTACTCTGTCCTTCTGACGACATCAGCACATACAGGAGAACAGCCACCCTCTAAGAGCTTCCTGCTTAGATCCCTCTGAATTACACACTTTTCAAGTATTTTGTTGGGTTTTTTTGAGTGAAGTCTATTTATTGCTGTTGCCCTATAGTAGTAATTGCATATCTTGTGTTTTCATTTTGGCTTTGTACACACTTGATATTTAACCCATTTTTACCTTTGTAGTCATCCATGTATTTCTGTGTAGTGTATACAGTTCAGTTTGGGATCAACTGTTTTAAAGAAAAGTCATTGTTTGCTTAGCTGAGATTTAAAATACTGTGACTACATGGAAAATAATTTTCTTTACCTCTTTGGTTTGACTATAGATATGCAAAATTTCTACTAGTCTTTGAGAGACATCAGTAAGAAGCCAGTGTCCCTCTTGAGGTTTCTTAATGGTTCCCAGCTCTACCCTGCATTCCAGGGGGCTCCCCTGGCAACTGTAGCTGCTTTTGATGAAGCAAAATCTTCATTTTTCACTTTCAAAAGGCTATGCAAACTGATCCACAAGACAGTGTAGAGGCAGCTTTCTTCATGCAGTGTGTAACACTGATAAAGTAAACTATAAGCAAAGCAGACAGTTAAACCATCTGCCACAGATTATGAAACTACAGTATTTGATTACTGGTTAGCAAGTATAATTTTGCTAGCAAAAAAGCTCAATCCAGATGTTTGCAATATTAGTACATTACCATGTTTGTCTATAGGCCTTGTATCCATTAATCCTCATAAAATGCCTGTGAGATATGTAATGAGGGTTATCCTAACTTTAGCTAAAGGAAAAGCGGGGCTCTGAAGAGAAGTTGCTCAATTTCAGATTAGGAGTAATTTCTTAATTCCCAGTTTTTAGCCTAGACTTAGAGAACAGTTTAAAAAAATTAAAATACTTTAAAATATTTATTAAATACTTTCATTTATTGACTCTATTTTTATGTAAAACTTTTAAAATAATTATTCTAACTGTCTATTTTATTTTGGTAGCCTTATATTTTTACAGATCCACCTACCGTAAGAGTTGCTCATGGAAAGATTTTCTCAGAAGTTGTATGTTTTTTTCACCACGTGACACATACCATGCGACTGTATAAAGTCCAGGGTAAGAGTTGTGAAGATTTGTCTCTATCAGCATTTATTTGTCATCACTACAGTCTTGGATCATACCTGTCTTTTTAATGTTTAAATGTGCTTCTGAACTAGTGCAGAATTCCTCAGACTGAAGTCTATTTACTAGGTTCAATTCAGCATGAACCCTTTCTGAGCTTTATGCTAGTCCTTAAGCTGGCATGCTTAAACTCAACAGATTTGTTGGCAATACCTCTCAGTATTAGGAAATTTTATAGTATAAATTAACCTACAAGGGGATCCTAAACTTTACCAGGTCATCTGAATGCTGTAAATTCTGAAAACAAGAAAACAATTTTCAGAAATATTTTGGAGATGATGTAAAAATGTAGTTTCTAGCTTCAAACTTAGTGATGAAGGTGCAACAATATCTGAGTTGCAAAGAATGTAAAGTCAACACTTCAGCACTTGAAGGAGCTTAAACATGTTTTGTATTAGCATTACTTTTACTGTAGGTGTCAAAATTGACTGCACAGTTTTTAAAATCTTATCATGTTTCATTATTTTTCTGAACACCTTCAAAAACAAATAATGGAGCTATAAGTACTTTGAAAGTCTCCCTTGCTCTTTTCCTTATTCCTTTTAGGTTTCAAAAATAGTATTGCCATCAATACATACTTTGCAGTCACACAGAACTGATCTGTTTGATTTTTTTTTTTATTATTATTATTTTTAGTTGTAATATATTTCCCTTTAGAACTAAAATTGATTCAAACGCTTCATTTTTTTTCTTACAGAACTTGATACTTGGAAGTTTGAAGTTGCTAGAGTTAACCCATATGCCATTTACTGATCACAGTTTAGTTGCCAACTTGTGTGATACAGCAATTCTAGATCACATTCCTTATGAACAAACCAAGATGTTGTATAGTAATTTGTTGTTGAAGAACCTGAGGAAAGATGTTTATATTCAAGTTTATATTTTTTGGTTTTATGTGACCAATATGTTAAATGGGCTTAGATGAATAAAAAGGTACCTTGTGGTCAAAATGCCAAAAATGTAAAAAGAAAGTTACTTTGCTTTGTGGTTTTTCAGTAACTTAAAATTCTTAGCAAGGAGGGGACTTGCATAAGGAGGATTGTTTATTGTAGTGAAGGGGAGCAAAAAAAGCCTGAAAAGTTTCTCTTTTGGCTAGGGTGAGGTTCGTTGTTTTTTTTAAAACAGGTTTTTTTGTAATACTCTCTTTTCTTTAATTCGTTAGTGAATGACTACCAGAAGTGTTATACTTCGTTGTCATTGAAAATCACTTGTTTGCTAGTTCTTAATACATAAGTTCATCTTTCTCTTTGAGTGCACTATCTAGTTTTTTTGTGTCTCAGGAGGGAGGGGGGCAATTTTTAATTCATCACACTGTTTCAATACTTATACCATTACCTATCCAGTATCATGGTGAAGTCCTGTACCATGTGTACAGCTTTTACAAGGAAAAAGGATGCAATTATTTTATGTTTTCTCTGTGTATTTTTATGACATGTTTTCATTTTAATTTCTTCATATGAAATTGCCTTTTTCAAAGTTTAAAAATCAGTGACTTTGCATCATAGTTTTGCTGAGGTCTGTTACCTGGGCTTTGTAAGGAAAATTATTTATATAGTATTATTTAAATTAAAAAAGTATCTTGAAGTCTTACTAAATATGTACAGTAACAAAGCATATGGAGAGAAATAAATGTGTATGTATATACATACACTTTCTTTTTACATAAAGACCTTATACTCCTGTTGTAACCTACCTGCTTGCTAGGGGTGGAAAGCCTGATCATGTGGTTAATCTAACGGTTGCACAGCACTTCCAAATCCTATAGCTTCTTCAGCAGTTTTGGTAAAACACTGCTTTTTCCACTTTTGGCTTTAGAATTCTGTTGATTTTGAGCAGTAAATACTCTGGCTTGACAACTTTGTTCAGCTGTTGACTAATGAGTGAGTTTTAAAATTGACTACTTCCATTGGCATCTGGTTTTGACATCAGCATGATTTTCTTAGTCTTTTTGTCAGAAGCTTCTATGTTTCGTTATCTTTGTAATTGTATTTTTGTTTTAACTCAAATTATGCAGTGGAAAAGAGCTGAGAGTAATTCATGGTTTGGTCATTTTAAAATTGTAAACTGAAATATTGTGTCCTTGTTCAATGTATTTGTGCTTTAGTAGCCCTACTTTAAAATGATTAGAAAATGTATAACTAAGGGCATCATAAGTGGAGCATATAGATCCACTTTTTCCAGACTACGTCTGGGAAAATAGAAGTAATTACCTGAACTGAATGTTTTGCATTTAGCATGCAGTATAATAGCCATTGGTAAATGTTAACATTTTAACAGTTGCTGGTATTGCTGCAGGTGGCATTCCAATTTTTAAAAAAATGAGGAAACAAATACAGAGCTTGACATCCTCCTCATGCAGGTGATAAAATCACAACTCTGACTGCATTTTACATACTAAACAACAGCATAAAAATTGAAGCAGGCAGACACTTTCAGCATTCCATTGTGTAAAGGTTTGAAGTGTTTGGTGTAGAATTTGACAAAGAGCTTCTTAAGGAAACTATTCCAACATGGTCTCAAACAGAACTGCTGAAAAGTTGAAAACTATATGTGTAGAAGGAAAAAGAAGTTGTGCTAACCTCTGTGTGTGTGGTTAGGAATCTAGTAATTTTATTTGAAGATATTTTGTCCTTCTACAAAAGTTTTTAGAGTTCAGGAGCCCAAACTGATAAGCATGCATCTGGGTCTTGTGAGCTGACATACAGTGAACTGTTGAAAAAACATAAGTATTTATTATGTAAGATTTCTAAATACTGTCTGCAAGTTTTAAAGCACTAAGTTGGCCAATCAGTCCCTCACTTTGTACCATCTTTTCTTACAATCCATCAGAGAAGCACAATGTAATTTAATGTCACTACAAAGAGAAATTTCATATCTCTCTTCTGCTTGGCAGAATTCTTTTCACAATTGTTAGTCCCATTAGACTACGGAAAGGGTAGAAGTGGTCATGCTGAATGATAGTATGATTCCAGTCCAAACTGTCTCAAACTGTTTGAAAAGGGTCAGGTTATTATTAAAGTTATTTAATTTTCAGTGCAAGGCACTGTAGAAAAAAAAATCTCACTGAACATCTGTCTGCATTTTTAGATACTTAATCCTTCTTTTAATAAATGGGCATCTTTTTTTCCCTGTCAACAAAGACTTGTGTGCTGGTTGTGGTCATATCAGTTTGCAGTTTCTTAGTTCAGTCTCCTTAAGGAAGATTCTCTCTGTTTTGGTTAAAACAGCCTGACCAATTTCCTGCTTAGTGGAACAGTTGCTGTCAAGAAGCTCGTAACTTCATTCTTGTCTGTGAATTGTGACAGCCTTACAATTCAGAAGTGAATGGCTAGGTCTTGCCTCCAGCATATTAGTTGCTGCTAAAGACAGCACTGAACAGTTGTGTGCTGTTTCCTACTGATTTACCGGAACCCACATTCATTCTTATGAATTGCTTCTGTTCTACTTCAGTGAAGGTTTCAGAGTGTCTGTTCAATGAGTACTGAATTAGAAGTACTGCTATATCACATGGTACATAACTGAACTGTCTTCAAATATCTAGTTAAATGTAACCGAAAAGGAAAACTAGCAGGGGAAAACTAGATCACTGTGTTCTGGGAGCATAGTCATTCTTACATATGTGGCAATAGCTTTTAAAAATTGAGAGATTTTAAATGCATCTTTTTCATGTAGGTTTGGAAGGCCAGTCTCTTGAAGTTTCCAATGTTGTGGATATTAGAGGAGAATATAATCGTGAGCTTGCAATGAGAATTTCATCTGATATAAACAGTCAAAACAGATTTTATACTGATCTTAATGGATATCAGGTAATCATTGTCTATTAATTATAAAAGCCTAGGGTCTCAGTTTTCAACTGTCTTAATACTTCTGATTGTAGAGTTTGAGTCATATTTATAAAACTCTCATGTTACACTCCACTAATCATTTAAAAGGAGAAAAGCTTTAAAATGTATCTGTTGTAAAATTTGATTTAGACCAGATGAAGCTACAACTGTTTCTTTCAAGGAGTTTGCTAAATAGTCCTTTATATCCTTTTTAATGTAAGAATTGTAATACAGCAAGTTATGACAAGACACCATGTACTTGCTTGTGTATCTGTATGCCTTCTTTCCCCTCTGCTTTAGCACAGGGGGAAGCTACCCTTTGGGTAGCACAATACTGCATGTGCATAAGGTCCAGCAACTCAGACCTAGAGAACAATTGCTTGCTGCTGTGGTGGAAATAAGTGATGTATTTTTGGAGTGTAATAACTTGTTCTATTGGTAACGCATCTGATGAAATACAGTGTGACTATTTTCTTAACTTGGACTGCACAGCACATACAAAAGAAGAAACGTTTTATTTTTCTTACCTTCCTTCCTTACTAAAAATAATTTGCAAATACATTGAAAACTGTGCCTGTTGAGTAAGACACTACTGTTTTTCCAGTTAGTGTGTAATACTGCATTTTGCTGCAGACAGTAAAGCGAATATTTAAACATGAAAATAATTTTAATACTATTACTCATTTGTCAGGTACCATTCAAGAATTCCACTAGCACCTTAAAAAGTTCCCATTATAAACCAACAATTCCTTTTCTGCTACCTTGAATCTATTCATTGCTTGCTCTCTAGAGGAGAAAAAATTTTCTGTCATTCTATAACTGTGATTATTCCTTTTTTTGTAGGTTCCCTTGATGAATCTTTCAGTTTTTTTTTAAATATTCTTTGATCTAAAAGTACATTGAAGTTATCATTTCCAAAGCGGTAATTTTAGCCACAAATCTCAAAAAAGCTAAATAATAGTCACATGAATACTTTGGTGCCAGTTGTCAATCAATGCTTCTAAAGTACATGGGATAAACGTCTGAAAAGGTCTTTGAAATTTAAATGCATAAAAATAATGTATTTTATTGAAGTTCATGTTCATACTGCAGATTCAGCCCAGACTGACGATGAGCAAATTGCCTCTTCAAGCTAATATCTATCCTATGACTACAATGGCTTATATCCAAGATGTTGGCGTTCGTTTGACACTTCATTCAGCTCAGTCTCTAGGTGTTGCAAGCTTGAAAAATGGTAAGTATAAGATGATAGATGTTATAAAAGCCTATCCATCATGATTGTCGGAAATAATTTGTTCAGATTACCATACCTGCTAGCATTTGAAGAAAGGAGATAAGTTTCTTCAACTCTGACAAGTTTTAGAATATGTCCATAAGGGAGGAGATAGAGGTTGTTCCCACATGAGATCCTATCATCTGCAGTGGAAGATCTGTCTCAAACTGGAGAGAGAGAAAAAACATTACGAAAATGACAAAATGAGCAATAAATTGTCAGAACCAGGATTTTTCACTCAAGAACTCTGATGGAACTCAAGAATGAAACTAAGTGGTTTATTCTCTTTTGTACTGCTCTGGTAGTAGATGGATAAAGTGATGCTAATCATGTGTTTTGATTTGTTTGTTTGTTTGCTTTAGGGTAGAAAGAACTAGTCTTAAGGTATTTGCAATATAGCCTAACATCCCTGTCAAGGAAAACAATAGCAGCTTTTTTGAAGACTAGAATTAGTGAAATAAAGGATAAAAATGACCCTGGGTAAGAATCAACATATTTATTCTGAAGCAAAATCATACCTCACAAATTTAATGGAGTACTTTGAAAGAGCTGATGAATATGTTGACAAGAAAAATCAATTCATATTATGAATTCCGAGAGGGACATAGTCTTGTCCCTCACAGCAGAGAAGGCTGTGATGAGTGGCCTGGAGGGATGGAAACAGAGGTCAGCTGTTCAGTCTATACTGCTACCAGAATGAGGAAGCATAGCCAGGAGCAGGCAAAATAAGGTATATAATTTGTAATTAACGATATATAATTCCTTGCTGTAATATAGTGTGAGTTTAAATTTACGAAGTTTTGAAAAATAACTGAATGAATACTTAGAAGAAACAGGCCCATCAGAAACTATGCCAAAAAAATCTACTTCCCAGTTTCTTTTCAGAAAGTCATATTAATGTCTATTCTGACAAAAGGTGAATACTGTACGAGATTCATGGCAGTATTAGCAAGCCTAATTCATTTTAGGGCAAAGAATTAATGCTGGCCAATAGACTGAAGCTTTAATGAAGCCATAGTAGAAAATATCAGTGTTTTTTTTCCAAGACTAGCTGATACAAGACCCAAACCACACTTTTTTTTCATGCCTTCCATTGCTAGAAGCCAAATTCCCTTTGGCCTGATCTTGTGGATGAACTTGAAACCACCAATGTTTGTAGGCACTAATGACATAGAATATTGTCACTAAAGAATGTTGGAAATAAGGTTAGGTAGTTTCAGATCTAGATCTTCTATGTTTTGTTCGAACAGCGATCCTCAAAGATGATCAATTTGAGGCAAAACCCTAGCCTTACACCTTAATTCAAAATGGGAGTTTGTTTCTTACTCATTGCCAGCTGACTTCTGTCAAAAGAAGTTTTCGGGATTTTTTGTAAAAACAAAATCTGTTTTTACTTGAGGGAAGAACAAGTATTTAAGAAAATTGGGTAAGTATATGTAGAACACTGAAGAATTATAAAAGAGACCACTTTACTAAGCAGCCTTTTCTAGTAGCTTAAATTGTGCATTTCTTATTTAGGAAACAAGTACTTCAGTCCTCCAGTTTTATTTAGGAAACAAGTACACTTGTTTGAAGATTCAGTGTGCAGAGACCGTAACAGCCTTAATTACATGCCCTGAACTGGATTCCCTCTGGAGAGACAAACTTGAAAAGACAGGAACTTCATCTTCCATAAGACTATTTATGATTTAACATCATGCTTAAGGGGCTATTCTGAATGGCAATGCTACAGTTCAGTATAAACTCAGAAATTCATACTCAGTGTTCATCTGGTGCAAAGTTCTTTTCTACTCCCACAAGTGAAAATACCCTTACAAGAAGGAATGATTGATAGTATTTATATACTCATATTGCCTCCCTGGTTTTTCTTCTGCCTCCAACTGTAAAGTAAAAACAAAAAAAAAGAAAAAAAAAATCTATTTGTGAGGTACACACTCTTATGCAGTGTAAGATGAAGACAGCTCCTTTACAGAAGGTCTCTCCATACAGTTGAAGAGACTTGGGGTGATTCTTCTCTTGATGTTCCAAGTATCCTTGTTACAAATAATAGTTAACAGTAATAACTTTTCATGCTAAACTTCTATTTAGACTTTTATGTTAAAAAATTTTCAGGACCTTCTCCTGAAAGGCTTGTGAAAATTTTTTGGAAGGTTATAAACAGCCAAAGCCCAAAGGTATTAACTGTTTTCCTAATCAGTCCTAACAATATTGATCTGCTATTACTCTTCCATATGCAAGAGAAAAATTGTGTTTATATTTTAGAGTATTTTTCTTATGTTTAATAGAAGCTTTACATATTCTCGTTACCAGTATAATCCTTGTATTGCTCTTTTAGGTCAGTTGGAAGTCATCATGGATCGTCGACTTATGCAGGATGACAACCGTGGCCTTGGACAAGGTGTCCAAGATAACAAGATTACAGCTAATAACTTCCGACTTCTGCTGGAAAGAAGAGATGGAACTGATATGGTAGAATTCACTGTCTGGTTTTTTTTCTGACTAATTAAGATATAAATATTTATTTCTGCTGCAGCAGCAGTGAGCTCAGAAAAAAATTATTCCATTAGCATTAGAACTAAGGAAACATAGCTTCCAAGGGAGTTTTGTCAGCTTGCTTGCAAATTGTCATTGTAAAGACTTCATCTTTCACTATTCCTCATACAGATACCTGCAGTACCAACTTTCTCACTCACACTGCAACAAATCACTGGGGTACAGTTGTGGAATTCTCTTCTTTTTTCTTCCTATTTTTTTTCGTACTCCTCTTTTTTTTTTTTTAGTAAAGTTTTAAAAAATTATTAACCAGTGAGACTTCTGGTTCTTAACAAAGTTGACTGAGTCTGGAAAAAGGTTGACAAATTATTTCAGATGAATGGGTGGAAAGAGAAAACATTTGATAAAATTAATTTTCTTAGGAAGTAAGATTTAAGTGGCAATATTTACATGCCAGATATATAAACCTTCTCACTTCATTATGATTCTGGGAAAGTTAAGACCATTTTGGTGTAAGGTGTTTGTATGGGGTTTTTTTGTACTTGCACAGATGATCTGTTTGCCTTTTTCTGTGTTAGTCTTTTGAATAACTCTTCAACTTTCATTCAGTTCTTTGCATTTTCTCTCTTTGCTTTTTTTCCTATCATTTTTGAGAAGGACAGAATAAGAAGTACATCTTCATATTGAGGCAGTAGAATCATGATGACAGCACTGAGTATATTTTAAAATCATCACATAGCTAAAGATGAGAGGTTGTATACTGAGTTGGTAATGAATATGTAGATAAATTGGAATTAATTCTAGTTTATAATGGATGTCATTAACTGCTGTGAGAGGATGATAATATCAAGCTTAAAGCTAATTTCCACCACTTAATGATTGACTGTTTTTTTTCAGGTTGTACATGTCATTATGATTTTCTAGTTTCTCATCCTGTATAACACAGGCAGCATATTAACTGCATTTATCAGTGTGGTGTGCAAATATCTGAGCTAACTTGAAAGAAACTGACTTAAGTTTTGCAGTAGTGTAGCTTTGACGACAATGAGCATTGCACAGGTTAATCTACTTTCACAAGAAGAAACTTGCAAAGAGATCTATACTGCACAGAAAACTTCTTTAGTACCCAGAGTAATTTGTGTTATATTAAATTAGAATGTGAAGCTGGTGAGTAAGAATTACAGGACATGGAAATCTATGTTTACATTAGCAAATAATTTGAAACAAAAGGAGCAGATCAAATCAGTTAGTGCCATGGTGCTTGCATTGATACTGTGTGCAGTTTTGGTATTTTCCTTAGAACCATAAAATAAGTCACTGAAACATATCTCTGGAAGTCTTCTAGTCCTGTCACTGCTTAAAGCAGGTCTATTTTTGTATCACAATGGAGTTAGAAAAACTGTCCAAAGGGTTAGTCATCCAAGTGAACATTAATGGAGATGTGAAGGGTTAGCACATGTTAATGCATGCATCCAGGGGAGCTTCTTGGTTACTTCCTTCTAAAAAAAACTAGTCCGTGCACACTGAGACTCCCCTGCAAACTAGCACAGTGCCTGGTTAAGTGGGGTTAGCCATAGGTTTAATTTCATAATGGCACTGCTGCTTCAAAGCAAAACACTCCTTTGGAAAATAGTTTGAGGTTACCTCAGAACAAAGACAGCCTAAACAACTCTGAGATTATTTGGTTACTGAAACGTTTACATGTGTCTTTGCATACATTTACCATTTTTTTGGGATACCAGTCAGATCTCAGCTCAATAGAATAACAATATATTTCCCTTTTCTTATTAAAATCCTCTTCCTTTCCTCCATTTTTGAAAGATTTTGTGCAAGTTGATGAAAATCTTTCAAAGGAGAAGGGACAGTTGCCTGCTACCATCAGAAATTTTGAGGTGTTTTGAGCACCTGTGTTCCACCTTTTACCTTCCTTCTCCCTGACCCTTCCTGC